AAATCATACAAAGTATGTTCTCTGACCAAAACAGAATTAAATTAAAAATCAATAACAGAGAGATAGCTGGAAAATCCCCAAATAATAGAAATTAAACATTATATTAATACTTCTAATAATCAATAAGTCAAAGGATAAATCACAAGGGAAATTACAAAACATTTTGGGCTGGACGCAGTGGCTCACACCTGTACCCAGCACTTTGGGAGGCTGAGGCAGGAGGATGACATGAGGCCAGGGGTTTGAGATCAGCCTGGGCAACATAGTGAGACCTCGTCTCTACAAAAATTAGCCAGGTGTGGTAGTGCATACCTGTATTCTCAGCTATTTGGGATCCTGAGGCAGAAGGATTGCTTGAGCCCAGGAGTTTGAGGTTGCAGTGAGATATAATTGTGCCACTGCACTCCAGCCTAAGTGACAGAGTAAGACCCTGTCTTGACACCATACCCTCCCCCACAACCTCCTGTAATAAAAGAAAATATTTTGAACTGAATAAAAATGATTTTGGAAACTGTATCTTGAAATACATGAGCTTGAAAGCTTCCTAATACTTAAAGACCTTTCTGATGAGAAAGGTGGTGATATTAATAAACATGACTTTTAAGTAATGAAATGTATCAAGTATACTGAAATGTGTCAACATTTGGAAGATCTACATAACTCAGTAAACCAATATTTTCCAAATGGCCAACAAATGACGTTACATAAAATTCATTCTGTGCAAGACAGACCAATGGATTTAAGAGTACAACGAGTTCATTCATTATGGTTTCAGATTCTATATTGCAACTAATGAACTTTTAAGAAACCACCCCTTGTCAAGTTTGGTGTGGTTAAATCCACAATTATCGGAAAAGGCTGTTAAAATACTCTTCCCTTTTTCAGCTGCATAGGCGTGTGAGGTAAGATTTTCTTCCTATACTTCAAATAAACCAGTAAGTTGCATCAGCTTAAATGGAGAAGCAGATATGAGAATCCAGTTGACTTATATGAGAATCCAGTTGTCTTCTGTACTCTATAAATATAACCATTATGCACCTATAATAATTAAAAAAAGAATCCAGTTGTCTTCTATATCCAGACATTAAAGAGATTTACAAAAATGTAAAACAATCCACCTTTCTAATGACATTTAAAAATTTGTGAATATAGTCATTTTCTCAAAAATACATTATTTATGTTAACATAATGGGTTTATGATATTATTTTAAATGAATAATATGTTTTAATGTTTAATGACCCACCATTTTATGACAGATATAGCAAAGCTTGAAACAGCAAGTAGTAAGACTTGGTGACTGAATGAATTAGGGTAGAAAAGCAAAACAACAACTTAGGTACTTGTGATGTAAGAAGATTTGGTGCCTAGAAAACACTGAGATAAAAGATGATATAATCTTAATGGAATTGGTTACTCACAGCAGAATTAATTGCCATAATATGAGCTGACAAAAAACTCATTCA